ACACGACGGACTCTGAAGCCTGCATGGCATCTCTGAAACGGTCTGGGGTGACCCCAGAACCCATTAGCTCGGTTCCTCAACCCCCACCCCCACCCCGGGCTCTGAGACGTTCTCTGCAGAGGCTGGGGATTTGAGAGGGAAAGGTCCAGACCTCTCTCAGCCCGGGCGCGAGCGAGATTATCTCTTGGACAGAGGGATTCCGGGCACCCCACTCCCTCCCCAGGCTCCCGAGCACAGGCCGCCCGGCGCCGGGATTGCTGGCGCGCACCCCCCCACTGCGGAGCGGAGTCGCGCCAGGAGAACGCCCCCACCTGCTCCAGGGAGGGGCGCGGGGAGCAAGGACTGGCTGCCAGCCGGTTTGTTTTTCTCAGCGCCAGCGTCGCCCGGAGCTAGGCGCAGCCTTGCTGCCTCCCAGGAGGCGCCGCCGGGTGCTTAGAGCCCCGGACAGGGATGAGTAACCCCGCACTCCCGGGGCTCCCCGCGAGTGAGCCGGTGTCCCGCCACGTGGCCCCGCGCTGCGTCAGCACATCTGGGGCGGGGCTGCTCATCTGGAGGTGCTCAGAATCGCTCCCGCTCCTGGGGGGGGAAGGGGTAGGGATTGGGGGCTGGGGGTGGTCTATTGGGGCTCTAACACCGTCCTCGGGGCCCCCTGTCGCCCCCCCCCCGCCCCCACAGTTTCAGAACCGAACAGCGGTGGAGGCAAATGTGTTTCTGCTTCCTACTTCGGGAGGGCATTGAACTCACCCGACCCTGGGTTTGGTTGATTTCCTGTTGAAATAATTATATGTTAATTCTGTGCATCCTCTGCCCACTCCACATTCTGTCCTTTTATTTCCCTTGCTCTTGAGGATGGGTCTGAAGTCCGCGCTACGATGACCTTGCAGAAAATTTAGCCCGTCTCATCACCCTGTAACGGGGGTCGGGGTGGGGTGGGGTGGCGTTTGATATCTTCAGGGTCCCAAAGAAGTTCCCGGAATCAGGTTGAAGACAATCCCTCTTACCTTGCATGGGAAAATGAGTGTTGGCCAGGCATGGTCCTTGGCAGTCTCAACGCTGGTGTTCTGACAGACGGCAAGTTTGAGAATAGCCTGGGCTGCAAAGTGAGTCAGTGCTATGTGGTGAGACCCTGTGGAAGGAAGGAGGGAAGGAAGAAAGGAAAGAGGGAGGAAGACAGGGAGGAAGGAGGACCATGCAAAAACCAGGCTGTCTGTTCACGCCTGTCACCTTCAGATGATATCAACACTTGGGAGGCTGAGGCAGGAGGATCACGTTTTTGAGGTAGGATCTTACTATGGAGACCAGGATGGCTTGGAATTCACAGAGGTCCACCTGCCCCTGCCTCCCAAGGACTGGGATTAGAAGCACAACTGTATGTCACTGTAAGAATCGCAGATTCAAGGCTAACCTGGGCTACATCACTGCACCCCACCTCAATTTTTAAAAATTTATTACTTTGTTACATTTTTTTTCCTTAAAACACACCTTCCTAAATTTAATAAAACAATAATCGTGAAGCCCCGGAAAAGGCAAAAATAAGAGAAAATTCCATTTTTTTATGGAAACTCACCTCGCCAAGTGATAGGACTCAGTGTGGTGTCCGGGTTTCACTCGAAGACATCTTTCCTGATGCTTCTGTCCCTCCCCCACCAGCCCATATTTTAGTAGACTGCTTTCCCCAGGCCCAGTTCACACCACTCCGGGTTGTGGTGGAGAGAGAAGGGCTGGTAGCAGTGGTCTGTGTGCGAATCCTCCCTGCCATGTCACAGTCAGAAAGGAGTTTCCCAGCCTCAGTCTCTTCAGCTGTGGTGTAGGGCCGTGTTCTTGGGGGTGGAGGGCTGCTGGCTGTGAACCAGTGCCGGGTGCCCATGTTGAGGGCAGACCCAGACACGTGAGTGATCTGGGCCCGCTCACTCACATGGCACCTGCCTTGGTCTGGCTGTGTGCTTCAGTGGGGACAGTGCTGCCCTTCTGGGTGACCTTCTGCTGTTGGAACAGGGTGCTGCTGGGGCGCCGGGCCTTTTGTGCAGGTTCAGCGGGCCAGTGAATAGCTTGTGGCTCAGTCCTCTGTTCCCAGAGGACCCCTGTCCCTGCTTTTGAGGCCTGACTCATTTGTCACCCTGTGGAACAATAGTCAAGAAGCTCAGGGCACAGGCTGACTGAGGGTGACATCTGTCTTTCATTGTCTTCTGCCCTGATGGGCTCAGCTGAGGCAGGTGGTCCCTATCCCTCTAGGTGCCAGGTGGCCCATCTGGAGGAGCCAAAGGGAATGAGCATTGTGTCCCCGAGGGTGTGGAGTAGGAGATGAATAAAAACAAACCCTAGCTTATCCTGGTGCAGCCACGAAAGACCACCACGAAAGCTGCTTTGAGCTGGGAGGTGGCATGCGCCTGTGATCCCAGCACTTGCGGGGTGGAGGTTGGAGAAGGAGGGGTTCATAGTCATCCTGAGTTCTATGCTGGTCTGGGCTGCATGGAATATTCTCTCTCTTCCCACTCTCTCCCTTTCCCTTCCCCTCTCCCACTGTCTCTTCCCCCAGCCCCCAAGGAGACAAAAAAAGAAAAAGAAAAAAGAAAAAGGAAAAAAAAACCCTTTGCACTTAGATATTAGGGAGGTGAGAAACTAGAAGCCCAGAGAAGTAAAGTGACCAGGGATTTAGATTGGAGTCAGGGTTCAGACCTGGATCTAGGATGTGATTGTGACTGATGAGGTATGGTGTCACCTGACCCTAAAAAGAGGACTTAAGGAGGTACCCTCAGGCCATGGAAGCAGCTGCAGTAAGCTGACCCTGGATGGACATTAAGCATGCTGATATCCAGTGTCTGTGGGTCTCTCTCATCCATCTCCCCCTCTGTGTTCAGAACCCCAGTCTCTTTTGTAGACCAACCTAGGTCGGTCTTAGCTGGGCTCCCTTCTCCTGCCTTTTGCTTTACTTTCCACTCATCTATCTCTGGGCGATCTCCTTTGTGCTCTGTCCTCTGCTCAAGCTCCCTGGAGAGCTCTGGAAAGCTCCACTTAACTTTGAATTTCCAGGGCGCCTCCTAAGCAGTGTGTGCAGCGGCTCTTGTGGGCCTCCACAATGAGCAGACATTTTTATCCCCGAGCCAGACCTCAAGTGCAGCCATCTCCCTGGCAGCTCGTCACCGTTACAGGGTCCGTGTGCATTCCTTGGGCTGCACGAATGTGCTGTGTTGTCAACAGCTACAGCACCAAGGAGGGCTGTGATGTGAGGGCTGGTGGCCTTGATGCCACACTCATTCTGTGGACAGGAGACTGAGGCTCAGCTCAGCGCCTGGGAGATGGAGGAAGGAGGACCTTAAGTCAGGGGAGACTGAGTTTGAGGCTACGAGCAGGAGCCTGTCTCAAAAAGGAAGACAAATCCAAGGTGCAGAGTAAAGATGGATACCCACCCCTCATCCCTGTCTTTCTCTCTGTAATAGCTGGAGGTCTGTCTGTTCTCATCATACACTACCTCTCTGTGGTGCCTGGAGACAAAGCAAGGCTTCACCTCTTGCATAAATGCAGGCGGCGGGCAGAGGCCAACAGCTTTACTGAGCCTCCTGAACCTCAAGGTACGAGAGACCTATGTCTCATGGGTGCTAGTCTTTTGTCAAAACTTTCATAAAGGGCTCCTGGTCTTGGCTTTGGCATATGTGGGCTGGTTGGGGCAGAGCCATGAGCCAAGTCCACACCTCCTTTGGCCATGAATGTCTCAGCTCTTGTCCTTTTATCACGCATAAATATCTTTTTGTAGGAAACAACCCCATGGAGGTGTAATTATCTTGTTTTTTAAAATTAGTTCACAAAGATAAAGGGGTTTGGGGCAGGCAGAATGCCTACCTGGACGTACACACAGACATAGGAAACAGTCACACAAATAAAACTTTTTTTTTTTTTAAAGCTTAAGAAAGAAATAAAACCTCAAAAGAAATGTTTATGTATCCCTTGCCCATGTGTCCCCTCCTTGGCTCAGCCTTCAGAAGGCCAGTGGCTGTGACTGCCCTCAGGCTTGTGCTTCCCAGTCCCTACCCCCACCCCCGGTAACTCCGCCCCTTCTTGTACAGCCTTATCACTGTGCAGTTCTCTTGTTTCACAGGTCCAGTCCAGAGACTTTGATCGTGGTCGCCAAGCCCCTGCAGCGGTGTTAAATGGACATTGTCACATGTCCATTGCCCTAAGGAGATCTTCCAAACCTATCCACACTCAGCCATGGTGAGCAGTAAGTTACTCTCTGTCCCTCTCATTTTCCTTTTAGGGCCATTTTGTATAAATCTGGCCATAACTGCTACTCATCTTCGTAGTTTTTATTTTTAATTTTTGAGAGGGAGAGTCTCATTGTTCAGCCCAGGCTGGCCTTGAACTCATGATCCTCCGTGTGTCAGCCTCCTGAATGCTGGGATTCCAGGATGGCACCACCACAGGAAGCTCTGGGCCTGGCTTTCCTGGGCCTGTGTGGTTTGCCCAGGGTCAGTGAGCAGGTTCTTTTTACTGCCTGCCACGGTGTGGTGGTGCAGCTGGTCTGCTTATCAGGGGTCTGCATGGGACCCACGCTTCCTGACTGGGCGTGTCCCCGCCGGGCTGTATGATGCCTGTGTGTGAGTGCAGCTCATGTTTCTGCATTTATTCTGAAGGCCGGGGAGCCATGGTCTGCATTTCTGAACTTAAGTCACTGATTAATTGGAGAGAATCCAGGCTAAAGCTTCCGGAGTAACAACTCAAGAGTCACACACTGTGCACTGTGCACATGGGGTCTGGCAGTTAAAGCTGATCAAAGCTTTATCTGGCTCCCAAACCCACAGCTTTCTTTCTATGCTGTGAGACTGAATCAGCCTGACCCAGGAACTAGGTTCCCTGTGAACCTCCACAGCCTTCACCATGACCAGGCTCCTGGGTCCACACCCTGTGACAGGGTCGCTGTGGGTTCATTCGCAGAGTTCCGGCCGGTTCCCAGGTGGCAGAAGAGAGGAGGGTATTGGGAAGGTCACAGACACCCTGCAAAGCCGCCTTGCAGATAAGTATCCCTTCACCAGCCCTCTGTGCGAACAGCATGGTCTCTGCAGGTACATATGGGAAAGGGTCGGCTCTGGAACCCCCCAGAGGGAGGGTGGATAGACGTCCGTGACCCTGGCTCCCGAGGATGGCATTTGTAAGCTTGGACAGGCTCCTCGGTCGTCTTGTGGACACATGGGGACCTCCTCAGGGCAGCCCTCGGAACACATTGTCTCCTCTCAGCTCCAGGGTCCTGTGACAGCAGGCTGTTAAGAGCGTGCTACGAGATGTCTCGCCTTCCGGGGCTCGGGAGGACAGAGGTAGCATAGCTGTCAGGGAAGAGCAAACCTGAGTCCTGGGATTCGGGGTTCTCCCTCATCTCCTCCACCGTGGTGACTGCAGCAGTCTGAATGAACCCCGCACCCTCTGCCAAATGTTCTCCGCTGTGAGGGTCATTAAAAGGTGGGGACTGAGGTGGGCAGAAGGGCAGCCTTTCATCTCCCAGCAGTGGCTCCAGTGGCCATTATGGTAACCTTGTGTGACAGGGCAGGGGAGAGAGAGAGAGAGAGAGAGAGAGAGAGAGAGAGAGAGAGCTTGGCACAGGCTTCCAGCAGCCACAGCAGGGCTGAGGTCAGAGTCCTGGCACCTCCTCTGCTGTCCCCAAGCTGCCCTGCTTGCCCTGAGTTTTCCTGGGTCACACAGGAACCCACAATGTACCCATGTTGGTGAAGGATGCTGTAGGTGGCAGGGAAGGAGGAGGCAGATGGCCTCTGGGCCAAGGCAGGGCTTGGGAGTGGTCCTCTCCTGTTTGGGGGTTGGCTGTTGTGTCTTCCAGAGTCGCCCTGTGATGTCTGTGTGTGGGAGGAGCTAGGAGCTGCGGCTGCCAGGATGTCAGGTAAGGATGAGAGGTGTGCTTCCTTCTAGGAGGGTGGTGGTCCTCTGTCTCATGTTCCCTTCTGCCTCTGAGGAAGCCAGAAGCAGATGTGCTCTTCATGGCCTCAGTGGGGAATATGCCCCCCCCCCCGTGGAGGCTATGGGGGTGTCATGCTCTCACACGGATATGAACCTCACCTTCTTTAGGGTGATGCTGGGTGTCTAGGGGTGAACGACAGAGACATGGTCCCATCCTTCGAGATCTTCAAGTAAGAAAAATGTGCCTCACCACAGCTCAGCAAGGGGGTGAGCTCAGTCCTGTGGAGTATACACGTCTCTTTGTGTGGTGTGTGTGTGTGTGTGTGTGTGTGTGTGTGTGTGTGTGTGTGTGTAGGGGTGTACACAGGGCGTCAGCTGAAGCCACTGGGGACTCTGGAGGTCTCCACTCCTCCCGACTGCACTTTACCCCTTGGACCCTGGCCACCTGGGGTCCCTCTGGGCCACCAGTCATTGGCTTTCTGCTCATCTTTGCGTGGCTCCCATCTGCTATTTTTTTTTTTTAATGACTTGCTCTCTAAGTTTATTCTGAAAGATTTATGCCCCAAGATTTCCCTTCTGCCCCATGTGTTGTCTGTGTGTTGGGAGCACAGGACACAGACTAGGGCATCTGGGGTGCCCTCACCTTCACCTTCTTTCATTGCACCCCCCAGATAGCTCTGCAGTCTGTCTCCAGACCCTGGTCAGCTTTGGAGCCCTGGGGATCCCTTGGATTCTGACTTCATGGAACTGGGGAGCAACTTGTCTCCCTGAAGACCCTGTGCTTTCCAGTGCCTGGGATGGAGCCCTCTGGAGAAGAGCCATTCCTGGAAGATGCACGCTTAGGATCCTCCCTGCCTCTGACGGACAGCTCGGGGTGGGAGAGGCTGCAGTTCAGAGCCCTGGGGCCCTGGAGGCTCCTCCTCATCCCATGTGGACTGGAATCCTCCTCCAGTCTATGGAAATGGGGGGGGGAGCTTGTCTCAAAGGATCTGTGGGTAGGGTAGGGACTCCATGGGCATGGGGGAGGAGCTCCTGAGGAGGAGCCCAAAGTTTGTCCTTTCTTTCCTTTTCTTTCTTTCTTTCTTTCTTTCTTTCTTTCTTTCTTTCTTTCTTTCTCTCTCTTTCTCTCTTTCTTTCCTTCTCTCTCTTTCGTCCTTTCTTGCTTGCTTGTTTTTCCTTTCATTCTCCCTCTGTCTGTCTGTCTGTCTGTCTCTCTTTCCTCAATTTGCTGCTTGAATGATGGCTCTGTTTGGGTGCTTTCTGGGTGAGGTTTAGCTCCGTGCTAGTTGTGGGAAGGAGACAGACAGACAGTCCTGGCCTGGGAGCTAGCTCCTGTGCTGTCTAGCACAGGAAGGGACCTTGGAAAGAGAAAGGGGTGCCCTGAGATAAGGACACCCAGTAGGGAGGTTCCTGGCAGACCCACAGCGTCAGCTTCCTCCAGTCACTACAGAATGGGCCGCACCCAGTCTGCGGTTACTGAGGCTCTGCTGAGGACACGGGGCTGCTCAGGGTGCAGCACCCCATCTGTGTTGCATAGCTGCCAAGGGAAGAAGCTGGCACACAGTTCCTGCACCCCTGCTCAGGGTGCAGGGCCCAGCATTCTCTCCCGTCTAGTCCCCGCAGCTGTCACCACCTTCCTGGAGGCGATGGTTCTGCAGTCAGCAAGAGAGCAGTGTGTGGCCTTCTTTGGGACGGGAAGTCTAGAAACAGGAAGCCTTTCATGGGATGGGGGTTGGGGGAAGGAGTTATGTATTCACTTTTCAGCCCAGGCTGTGGGGCTCAGCACCAGAGACTCCCACTCCAGTGCTCGGGGTGGCAGAGCAAGATCCAAGTGCCAGCAGTAGCTTTATGTCCTCAGGGGGCCTCTCTTGGTGTCCAGAGTGAGTAGGCTTCAAGGATTCGTTTCATAAGGGTGACAGTGTTGCTGTTTCAAGACCCAGGCTTAGGACCTCATCTGAGCTTAGGCACAGCCATGATGGGCTTGTCTCGCCAGGCCTTCACATAGGGGCTGTGGGTTGGCCCGTCCCTCTTGGCGGTGGGGAGGACTCTGGCAGGGTGGTCTCACAAACAGGAGTGGCCAAAGCCATCTCCCTTTCAGAATTCCTCACATAGGGACAAGCAGATGAATGCAAGACAGACAGTTGCAGGCACTGTGCCAGGTGTCTCGGGGACGTGGTGGCTGTAGCCAGAGCAGAGCCAGCTCAGGTCTTGCTGTACAAGTCACCTTGCCTCTACCAGCCTTGATTTCCGCTTTGTCACTTGGGCCCTAGGCTGTCCTGGTGGCCCAGGTAGCTCTCAGGGAGGTCCTGTGCCTGGGTCAGTGCTGGGCTCTCAGCAGGTGCTTCCTACCTACAGTTCTGTCCAGTGGGAGTTTAGGGAGTTTAGGGTTAGGGTGCAGCCAGGTTGTGATCTGGAGGCGTTCCTGGCTAGGCCACTCCCATCTTCTTGAGGAGTCTGGGGCACTGGCCAATCTCTGCTGTAGGCTTGCCAGGTTTTCCAGAAGGGGAGGAACCCTGTTTCCTGCTACCAGCATGGAGTCAGTTTTACCTCTTTTCTGTGAGCCGGTTTGGGAAATACAGGTGCTGTCCAGCCGTGCTTCAGACGTTCACAACTTCAGAGAGAAGCTATCCCCAGGAAGGGTTAGACAACGGGCAGTCAACAGGGGCCTGGTGGGGAGGCAGACCCTCAGCTCTGGCACTCTGGAGAGGCTCCTTAGCCAGGCTGACCCGACTGGAGGATGACAAGAGTGTGGCTTAGCTGAGTGCTTTTGGGAAGACATTAAAGCACAACTCAAGTAGGTTAAAAGCAGTGCAGGACTTTCCAGAACCTTGAGAACGCGAATGAGTGCTTCGGATACTCAGGGCGGGGTAGATGGACAAAGCAATTACTCCTGACTTGGCTGGCTACAGAATTCTTTTCTTACCAAACATTGTCTAGAATGCCGGGAGACACAGGTTGAGCTTTAGGAATGCCAAGGTCTATAGATAGGTGGTATGGCTGGGCCGTACTCAGGTGGCCTGGTGTTGCCTGGATGGAAAGAGAAGCTGGAGGGTTGCGGTGGGGGCAGTCAAACCTCGCCTTAGGACTCAGGCCGCTTCCTTGCAGTGTTTGTAGAGGAGGGCAGGGCAGGCCAGCGGTGGGAGCAGCCAGAGACCTGGGAATTGGTGACGGAAGAGATGTCCATTTCCAAGCATGGCAGCTCGGGGTGGGGGTGGGGTGGGGTGGGGTAGGTAAGATGTTTTGTCGAAAGATACTGAGATTGTGTGTGTGTGTGTGTGTGTGTGTGTGTGTGTGTGTGTACAGGCATGTATGCGTGTGAGACAATGCTTCTGGGAAGGGGTTGGCCACAACCAGGCAGGGGGTTTGCACTGAGGATGAGCAGGGCACATTTTCAGCAGAGCTGAAGTGTTTGTGGGACCCTGAGACCCACAGCTTAGAGCCAGAAGCTCTGGGCTTCCAGCAGGGGTCACTGAGGTCAGGCTTGATTCCTGGGGGGGTGGGGGTACTGAGGGGTGTTGAGACAGACCCCCTGCCCTGGTCAGGCCCCATGCCCAGGCTGGTGAGGACAGGAGGCCTGTGGTGGGTGGGGGCGACGGGGGAAGGCTGCATGGTGTGATTAACCTACTAACCAAACCAGGGCTCGGCCAGGACTCTGCCGCCCGCCCGCCTGCCTGCCAGCCCTCGAGGAGACGCCTGGCCCTTCTGTCGACTGACTAATCCACTAACCTGGCCCGAGCATGTCCTACTAACCCCGCAGCAGCCAAACCCTACTAACTTGGCAGCCCAGGGGCCTTCCCAGAGGCCGGGAGGCGGGGCAGACAAGGCTCTGGAAGGCCCTGCCTGGCGGCTGGGGTCTATGTGCAGGCTCATCCTGCAGGACAGGGCATGCTAGGAGACTCACCAACTCTGCCACTCGCTGCTGCCCTCTCTGGGACGCTTTCCCTCCGTGGTGGAATGGGATCCTCCTACTTCCCTCGATGACCGTGGCGAGGCAGCCAAAGTGTGGCCGAATGGCAGGGACTTCAAAATGGAAAAACCAAAACCAAAACATGGCGAGGGCAGGCCGCAGGGTGCTGGGTGATGTGCCCATCCCCTGATCTCGGGTGTTCTGCACACAGACCCTTCTGCCTGGGGCAGACACGTGCTTTGGATCCTTAACCGTCTCTTCCCCTCTTGCCAGCTTTCTCCCTGTAGGCAGCTCTTTTGATTACTAATTGTCTAACGCTGGGGTGCCCTGCCCGCACCCTGCCGCCCAGGAACTAACGGCCCCCCGCTGCCTTCTTCTCTCTAGTGGCTCCTGTGTGTGTCTGCAGACCTGTCGCTGGTGCTGTGCTCTGATCTACTAACACGGCCCTACTAACCAATTTCTTCTCTTACTAACCCAGCCCTGCCGAGCTCTGGGCCTCCCGGGGGCTGGTCCCTCCTTTTGGCAAGCAGATGTCCCCAGGCTGACCAGGCCAGATCTGAGGCAGGGGACAGCTCTATTAATGATGCCCAGAGGAAGAGGAGGAGGAGGCTGTCCTGTGGATGTGGGACGCTGCGCTCCGAGCATGACCTCTGTCCTCTGTGCACAGATCTGGTTGCCACCAGGAGTGGATGGGACCAAGGGAGCCAGCGTGGGGCCTGTAGTTCTGGGCCCTACCTAGCCTGGGCCCTTTCTGATTTAGGCCAGGGAGGAAGGAGTAGGAACTCCCAGGGCCGGCCGTCTTGTACAGGAGCTCAAAGGTGTGTCTCTGAACCTGAAGCCGGTGGAATGGCAAGCCGTATGTGGAAGCTCTAATTGAGAAGTTTTCAAATAGAATCGTGTGAGGGGGGCATTTCCCCAAAAAACCACAAGGCAGAGTCAGGCATTTCCCACATGAAGCCTGAGGAGAGGGACTCTCTCTTAGTCTGAGAAGGCTCTCTTAAGTAGGCAGCCAGCTAGACAGGCTTTCTTACCGAGAGGGGCAGAAAATCTCAAACTGGAAGTAGATTTGGGGCCATTTTCACATAGGAAGTAGGTGTGAGGATATTTTTCCCTCAGGAAGTGTTCAGAAAGACCCTCCCCAGAGGCTGCCAGTTGCCATGGTGCTCACAGTTGGGGAAGCGCCTCCACAGGCCCTTAGGGCTTACAGGAAGGCAGAGGAACTGGTGCCTGGAAGAGAACCCTAGGGGCCCTCGGGCCACTGGGAAGTTACCCCAGCTCCTTGTCCTGTTGATGCCCATCCCTCTGCCCCAGCCAGCCTCCCCCAGAGCCCGCCAGCTGCTAAGCCAGGGCCACACCTGGGGGTGATTTCATGCCTCACCTCCAGTAGGCTTATGGCCTCTCTGGGCTAACCTCTGGCTCCTCTGCACTAACTCTAGCTCATACCCAGCTAACCCCTGCCTCTCCCTGGCTGCCCTAGTGGCTGACCACTTGCCAGCCCTGCCCATCCTGGGGGGTGGGGAGCTCCAGGCTCCTGGCCTGGCTTTGGCCGACTCCCTTGAACCACCCCTTCCTCTGGACTAATTCATGCCTTTCTGGTCTGTTCCTTTTGGCAGAAATGAATGGCTGTGGACTTCTCCCTGACTAACAGGTCTCACACATCTCACTGTTACCACTAACGGCTTGGATGGTGGCATGGCTGGAAAGGGGCTGGCTGACAGAGGCTCTGAGCTTGATTGATACGGGGAGAATGTAGCTAGGGAGAGTAGATCCCATGGCTGCTCTGGGTCAGAGATTCCAAATGTCAATCAAGGTGGTACCCTGGCTGGGGTGTGGCTCAGCCAGAAGAAAGGGTACTGTCTACTGAGCATCTTGGTGAGGTCAGACATACAGCCAGCCTTCTATAGATTGTGGCCACTGGCCCCATCCCATAATCTTACAATCTGCAGGAGCTGTTAGCTCCGTAAACTACAGCCTCAGTTCTTGCAAGCAGAGGCATGCAGGAGCCTAAGACACCTGTCTGGTTTCTTCAAAGAACTTGTTATTGATGGATTCGCTGGGCCCAAGGCCAGGGCCTGTCCTTGTTTAGGAGACTTACGGAGTTCTGGCCGTATGACCTCAAGCTCCAGGCAGAAATATCTATGAGGGTTGTAAATCCTCCAACCCTAGACACCCTAGTGAAATAGCCCAGGCTTTCCCTTTAACTCTTCTAAGGTAGCTCTTTTACACAGGGTCGGTGCACTGGCTGGCAGGTAGTCCGGGACCCCTTAAGGCAAGGGGGAGTCCTCTGGGAACAGAGACAGAAAACCATGAGGCCAGGGGACCCTTGTGGAGCTGTGGGTGACACAGGGCTGAGGTGGGCAAGAGGAGAGCATCTTCTTTCACTGGCTTGGTCTGGAGGTTCAGTGACATGGTTGAGCCTGTCGGCAGCCTCAGGGACAGGTTTCCTGGGTCAATAGGTGCTGGAAGAGCTGCTTTCCTGCTGGCTTAGTGCTGACTGTATAGCCGCCGGTTGTCCTGTAGGCCTCTGGGGGCTTGAGGTACAGAGGAAATGGAGGAGAAGCCCCTGGGGAAGGTGGGTTTGCGCGGAGGCAGGGCTGGGATGTACCTGTTGCTGCCCTCTGGTGGCCAACCAGCTTCATCTCACCCACAATGCCCAGAGAAGGCTGTTTACTCCAAGAACTCCAGAGGCAGAGGCTGGGCAGGGCAGAGCCCTGTCATCAGGGCACCAGTGTGGGCACAAGCTGGTCCTCAGTGGCTGCAGTTCTGTGTGGTGGGCCCAGGACAGAGCAGGGGGAGGGGATCAGGAGAGCTAAGGTGAGGCAGGCAGGGAGGGCTCTCTCGGAAGAGGGATCACGCCAGCTAAACCTTGATATGGTACCAGGAGGGTGGCAGGGCTGGCCTTTTCAGGCTGCCTTTGCTCGCTTTAGCCCAGGTGGGGCAGGGAGGAGCTTACAGTGTGTGCCCGCCATGTTCTAGACAGGGTCAGAGCTTCTGGCTTCCGTCCATCTGGAGAGGAGCAGGGATTACAGAGCTGGCTCTCACCGGGGGACAGAGGCGACAACGAGAAACTTACAGCTTAGCTCAAGCCCCGAAGGTGTGAGTTTCCTCCAGAAGACCTGGAGGACGGTGATGGCGATAAGTGTGTGTTTGTGTGTGTGTGCGTACTTGCTTGACTGTGTGCACATGCATGAGAGAGGGAAGGCAGAGAAAAGAGAGGCGACTAGAGGAAACAGCCTCCAACGGCTCATTCTCATCACCTGTCTCTGGGCTGCATCTGCCCCCATTCCCAGCCCACATCCCATTAAACTTCAGGCTTGTTTTGAGCAGGACCCCGTGGACAGGGACCAGCGTCCTGTCTGAGGAGGTCACAGCCTGCCTGGAGGGCGGAGCCAGCGTGGGCCCTGCCCCAGGGTGGGGCTGGGCAGTGAGGACAGCTTTGGGGTGCTCAGGTTTGGAGCCCTGGTGAAGCCTGTCTGGACTCCGTCTAGGGCGTATTGTTTTGTAACCAGTTCGGCAAAGCTGTCTGTTCCACGTCTGTTCCTGCTGGTGGGGGAAGAGGGGTGCTGAGTGTAGGCCCTGGAAGCCTGATGTATTGAAGACGATCTTTCCGAGGGTCCAGCCACAGTTCCCCGGTCTTTGGATTTTCATTCCTGTAGCTGTTTCTGTGTAAGATGCTATGTTACTATTAAAACCAGTGCACACTGGAGAGCGAGCGACTGGTTTATGGGATGGAGGGATGTCTTGGGGAGGGGGCAATTAGTGGGGTGTTTGCGGCAGGGTGAGCTGTGTTCCCGAGTCGGCTGAACGAAGGAAGCACTTTTTTCTATTAAGACATTTGGGCAAGGTGGCCCAGGAAGCCTGATGGCGATTCCTAAAACCCACAGTAGAAGGCAAGAACTGGCCCCGGAAAGGCTGCCCTCTGACCTCTCCACATCTGTATCCTGGGGTGTCGTTCCATCCTGTGTGTGTGTGTATGTCACACACACACACACACACACACATACACACACACACACACACTTGTACTTTGGAGACGATCTCACTAGAGCGGCTTTAAACTCCTAATCCTCCTGCTGCCTTAGGTTCTGGAGTGTCAGATTACGTGCTGTTAACTGAAATACACACCTGCTTGGCCATCTTCACCACCAGGGAGAGCTCCATGGTATCAAATGCGCCTTCACCAGTGTCAGTAACTCTCCCTTTTTTCTCTGCTCCTTTTGTGTCCAGAGTGAGGTTTACAGAGAGCCAAGCTCTTTTTTTGCTGTAATCTTCTGTCATGTAACCTCCTTGGTGGAAGAGACTTCACTGGTGAGTCTTGGTGGAAGATGCTCGGCTTCTGGCTGTGAAGGGATGCTGGATAGCTGTCACACGCTACCGTTCTACTTGGCAGCACCAGTGACAGACATTACTAGCCGATCATCTATCTCTCTTTGGGAACTTAGGTGTATCTTTAGGATCTCTTTCAGAACATCCTTCTAGGCAACTAGAGTGAGTCGTCTGCGTGGGTGTTTTAAGAACTTTGGTATCGGGGAGTTTGGGTGGAGTCTCCCGAGGAACCAGTTTGAATCTGGGCATGGCCAGAACCATGCTGTGTCTTAGAGGAGAGCTGACTTTCTGTGAGCTGCCTGCTTTGTACAATAGGGACCACACTCTCCTTCAGCCATGGGGGATGTGAAGGTGTCCTGGGGTTCTCCCTGAGGTGAACTGAACTCCTACTGTGCCCCACCAGACGGTAGAATGGGGTCTCAGGCCCTGTGTGGCGGGAAGAACCAGGAAGCAGGGCTTCCCGGAAGAGATCGAGATGAAGCAGCTGCCATAGGCCCCAGCATTTAGGGTGCCTCCTTCAAGGTCTACCATGCAGTCCTGGGGAGATGGAGAACAGGGTGTGGACACTGAGACCGGGCTGGGGGCAACAGAAGAGAACCAGCCGGGCCTACTTCCCCTGGTGTTCAAGGCCCTCGGCTCACCGATGGAGATGACCCACTCAGCGTATCCACTCATAGTCACTGCTCTTTTCCTCACTGTGACAAAACGCCTGACAGAAAGCACCCAAAGGACGGAAACACTTGTCTCAGAGCATTCAGTCTCTCACCAGTTGGCTGCTTGGGCAGAACCTCATGTGGCTGGCCTGTGTTGTTCAGGCTTTTACCTCACAGTTGACAGAAAGCAGAGCAGGAGAGCCACAGGAAGGGGCAAGGCCGGGCCCAGCCACACATCACCCACCTCCCCAGTGGCCTCCCAAGAGTGCACCACGAGCTCAGCTCACACCACTAGCCCAGCGGGTTCCTCCGGGGAGAGCCCCCACAGCCACACTCGGTGGCCCCTGCAGTTCACAACCTAGTCAGGTGAGACCCCTCACTCTGGGTCTCGGTGGAGGTTTGCCAACTGGACACACTGTAGAGTCACCTGTGAAGGGAGACTGGGTCAGGTGGGCCTGTGGGTGAGTCCTGGAGAGGCTGTCTAGATTCTGTTACCCAGCCTCAAACAGGGGGCACCCCTCGCTGGGAGGGTAGAGCCGTAATGCATGCTTTGACCTCTCTGTGCACACGACAGCTCCTTCCTTCCAGCAACGAGGGGCAACCTTTTTTTTTTTTCTTTAAACCTCACAGCAACAGAGACAGAGGTTGTTTGGGTCCCAGGTCCGACTTCCCGTTCAGCACTACCACACACCCAGGACCCAACCGCCATCTTCTCATAGACCCCACACCTCCTGGCTGACTGCTGGTCTCTGTCAACCAGGGGCTCACGGGACACAGGAAGCCCCTGTGTGGAGCGCACAGTCCCGTGGGTGCTTTGAGTGAGATACGGATAAGAAACTGACTTGCCGCAGCAGCGGTAATCAAAGGCCCCTCCCATATTAACAAAAGCCGTGCTTTGTGAAAGTAGCTCTTCTCCAAAGCAGAACGTGTTTGGTGGGGAGATAATGAAAGCTTCTGTAGGTTTCTTCACTGGGTGGCCTGTGGGGAGCCGCTGGTCTCTGACCCTGTTCAGTGTCTCCGGCCAGCGTCCCATGCTGGGTGCGCTTGGGCCAGGGAGATTGTAGTTCATAGGAGTGGCCAGCAGATGGCAGCCTCACACCAACACCTCTGCCCTGTTTTCTGATGGGTTTGGACAGCTTTTGGGGGCAGCTGTGGGGTCCCAGGGCTTAAGGAATTTGAGTGGGGTATGGCATGGGTGGGTGGGAACAATGCATCTGAAGACAGAAACTACAGAAGCGTGTGACAGATGCAAAGCCAGAAACTGCCCTCTGCAAAATGGGCACGCTGTTTTTAGGTTCCATGCTACCAAACTCCTCTTGTTATTTTAATAACAGTGTCCCTCCCCCCAACCTTCTCCCCTGATCCTCAAAGTCTCCCAAGACCCCACTGACTCTCTCTGCCCATTCCCCCTCCAGGCCTGGCCATCTCCTACTCGGTTGACAAGGGGTCATATGCTCTTTGCTAATGTTCCCTGGATCCTAGGCTCAGGCTGAATGGTCGGGACATCCTGTCATCGGATTTTCCCCTGGTCCTACTGCCTCGGGTGTGTGTGAGGGGGGTAGTGCTGCTGGTATTCAGAGAAGGCAAGAAACTTACCCGGAGACACAGAGCGGGAGGATTGAAAAGCTGCTTCAAGATGGCTGCCGGACACATGGGGTGAATGCAGCCCAAATTCAGAGTCTATCTTCTCATAGAGTTTGAGGCTGCGCTGGAGCTGTCACACACCACCACCACCACCACCCAAGCAGACCAGTGGCCGTGGAGGATGAGCTGGGCTGCTCTGTCGGTCCCGTGCCCACATTTCTTGTCTGGGGGAAGGTGGTTTTTTTTTGCCCTGGGACCAATCCGTGTTGGTTATTTGGGTCTTTGATGTTGGCCTCTGATCCTGTGCCCTGTGCCAGCCCCGCCCTGGTCTCCACAGTATAGCAGAAAAGGATGCTCAGCCCTGCTGAGGATCCTTGGGGACCTGCAGGAGGCTTGACATGAGTGTGGGTTCTGTGTCACCCTCACCCACCATTTCATCTGGCGGAACCCCTGTGGCCAGGCATAAAGGGGAGTGGCTGTGGCGTCTCCTTCACAGGTGGTCCTGAGGGAGAGGAGTGAGGGTGACTGGAGAGTCCTGCACTTGGGGAGCCCTGAGCACAGGAGAGGCCCAGGCAGGGGGTGCATCTCAAGCTTTGGGACTGAGTCTTTCATCTACAAAATGGGGACAAAGCCATGCCTCTCTCAGAGGACACGAGGGCCAGAGGATGCCTGCAGCTCACAGGCAGGGAACAGCCAGGCCTGGCTTCATTCCCCACTGTGGTTTCTTCTGGCCCTGGGCAGATTTTTCTTGGCAGCAGAACCAAGCAGAATGGTGGTGGTAGTGGGGCAGGCTGAGGATCAGACGGGTGCTGGGAGACCACATCACCGAGCAAGCTGGCATGCCATCCCTTGCTGGGTCTGTCCAGCTGTGATCGTCTGTGAAGCCACAGTTATGTGGCCTGTTAGTGGCCCATTCCCTACTGGTGCCTGAAAGCAGATGAACAGACTCACCTGAGCAAGGGACTTGACCTAGGAGCAAACCCAGCTTCTCAGGGGACGGAGGCCCTGGTGGGCACCAGGGGACAGACCCACCTTGCTCATCTCCACACACGAGGCCCCATCTGGGAAGGCTCTTCCTCCACAGAGACTGTGGAATCTGAGGAATGTACTTTAGGCAGCAGGCCCAGGACACCAGGCCTTGGATGTATAGGATAGCTGGGGCATTTTCCCAGCAGCGCAGGCTGCTTGACTCATTCCAGACGTTCCCTTCTAGCTTAGGGGTCAGGCTGCAAGGGTCTTAAAACTTTCCCAGGTTCTCAGTTTCTGGTGGACTCTCACAGTCCAGTCTCTGATTTCACTGTCCCCGCTCCCCTCCCCCGCAGCCAGCTCCCTGGGGTCCTGGGACCAGTTCTGTGCTGGGTACCAAGGTGGTGGGAAAACTGCCGAGACTTGTAGAGGCCAGCAAGATGCAGGGCCCAGCCTGGGCTCAGGTGCTGTGCCACAATGGACAAGCCACTTCGCTTGGCTGAGACTCTGAGGCCAGGGTGTAAATTGGTGTGAGACTGTCATCTCTTCATGGGGTGGTTGTGAGGCAAAGGGCACAGGGGTGAAGTTCCTGGTGTGATGGCCAAATGGTTGTCGTCATCCTGTACGTTCCAAAGAATGGCTGTAGCAGTTTTCCTTTATCACAGGACCATAACATTTTCTTTGATTTTTAAAATTACATCTATCTATCTATCTATCTATCTATCTATCTATCTATCTATCTATCTATCATCTATCTATCTATGTGTGTGCATGTGTGTTCAGCTTGTCCAGTGGATTTAACCAGTAAGCCATCTCTCTTGTCTGTGTGACTGTTTTATGGAGGCAGGGTCTCAACTCTAATAGCTCAGGCTGGACTAGGACCCACAGTCCTCCTGACACAGCTTCCTGAGATGACGGGTGTGTGCCATCACACCGGCTAGGTTTGTGACCAGCAGAGGTGAGTGGCACAGTGCTTCTAAGTTGAGGTCATAACATGTAAGTACTTGCCAGAGCATGGTCGCCATGCTGTGGGGAGCTGTGGGGAGCTGTGGGGTGCCATGGGGAGCTGTGGGTGCTGTGGGGAGCCGTGGGGTGCCATGGAGAGCCATAGGGAGTTGTGGGGAGCCATGGAAAACCATGGGGAGCTGTGGGGAGCTGAAGCAGCTGCTCAGAGG